GGAGGGAGAGCGAGCGTTTCGTGTGTTTATAAGCTCTTGGTGTAAATCTATTGTTCACTTTGTTGGTTCTTGTCTTATTTAGAATTCTTGACCTCACAGTTTTACTGATTCCTGTTAATTTTAGATTAATTGTTAGCATATTATATATTGTAAAACAAAACGAAGTCGAGTCCGAATATGAAAAAATGTTATTCGGACTCGAGTCCGAATAACGACGGCCAAAACAAAAACAAAAAAGAATAATGATAGAACATTTCTATCATGCGTGTTAAGTACGCAATTTGCCTACATAGTGGTGTCTACTAAATAGTTGTTTGTGGTATTTTCAAGACTTAAAGATGAGCCTAATAATTTATTTTTTTTAAACTTCCATTGCAGCTCGTTTGTATTTTGCAGATATTATTATTGTTTTGTTGGTAGTTGTTTGATCTATCATCTCTTTTGCACGCCTTTTTTTTTGTATCTGTATTGCTGAGTGTTTGTTATTAGTTCAGACAATCAAAACTACTTCTATTTACATTAGGATATCACACAACCATACTGTGTTCCCCATACGCGCCAAAGGACTCTATAAGAAGTTTGTATTCTCAAACGTGTTTAATGATTGATGTCCAAACCTTAGACCATGCTTTTTTTTATCACTTTACTTTAGATATATTCAAAACCGAATCACACAACTCTTATTTTCCAGAACAAAAAGTTTCTACTTAATCCATTCTTTCGACATTGGGCGATCGTATGACAACAAATTATTATTGTAGTAGTAAATTTTTTTAAAATTTATTAGATTATATCTTTTCTTTTTATCCTATTTTCTCATTTTCAAAATCTGTTTATTTTTATAATTTGTATTTCATATAACTTTGTATTGCTGTAATTTGAGATTGTCTCTTCTCCGTTTACCCATCGGTATTTTCGTTTTGCTTACGGTGTTTTGTTTATGTCAATTTTAAAAGTCATTATCATCCTCATGGTGTGAGGTATATAAATACATGTATTTGTTTTAGGGAGCTTCTTGATCTTTCGTGAGGCCGGATGTATTCCTTAAAAAGAGGGAGTTATTGTTTATGTGTGCTCTCGCCAATTCAATATACTAATCGCTTTTTTTCCGTTCTTCTTATTTCTTTGGTCAGTATGATATAGCTTAATCTGGACTATATGTTGCAGTGTGTATCCTTTATATTGGTGGTTTCAGTGTGTTTCTCTGTCAAGATGGTATTTAACGGTGCGGATAAAACATTTTAAAAACAGCTTTACTGAACGCCTGTGTACACTTTATTTCAGTCCCTGTAGTATTACGTTAAGCAATTGGATTAACTGCCATTTTGGGTACTGTAAGATTGTTTTAAAATCATAACCCCCTCGGCTCAACTCTCCCTTACCCGTTACAGTACATGTATAATAAACTGTTACCACTTAGTCTTGGGTGATTTCTATAGTATTGGAGTAAAGAGGGCGCATTTAGTTGGTGTTTGTTATCTTATTTTCAAAAAACTGCAACCACCAACCTATAGGCTGGCCCAAAAACAGTGTACATAAATGGTGGTCAATTTAGTGGGGGTTTTATGATAAAGTGAGAAAAACAGATTCCTTACCTTTGAAAGGAAAAATTGGACGGAGAGTACAGTTTGAGAGAGTACTATGGTCCTCCCTCCAATACAGACGAACGTTTCACAAGCTCCTAACGACTCCTGGAATAAGAACCAGACACTCGGTCATCGCGGGGTTGTGGGTGTCGTGGGAAGAGAGCTTACACTTACAGCAGTATCGTGACGTTCTGCGCTTGGGAGTGGACTTAGAGAAGGATAAAATACTGCTCAACAAGATGATCACGAGATGAATGAAGACAATCTACGTCTTCTGGGGCGGTTTTGGGTGGGTGGTAGTATCCACACGAAGTAATCCAGAGCTAGAAGTTGTGTGTTGTAGTAACGGGGACACTTTCCTCGCCACGAGGTGAGAACGTTGGGGTTGAGTAAGCGAAATGCTACTGATCGATCACTTTACTCACGGGCTGGAAAGGAGGGCCTGGTGTGTATTGTGTTGTGTGGCCGTTAAGTTATCACTTGTGCCCACTCGGATGTGTCAGGGTATGGGTCCTGGAGAGAAGAAAGATAACTCAGTGTTGTGTTATCCTCATTATCGCCTGTAAAAGATCACTTTTGATATTCAAAATGATACCTAAATTTCACAGATTGCTCGGTCACTGATAAAAAGGATCGACAACTGGGTTTTGAGAGTTGAATGTTCCAAGTAAGAGAAATGCGATCAGCTCTTCGTCCACAATGTCTTCACAGAATAAATAATGATTTGTTCTAATAAATAAAGTTAACAAAAAGTTGACACTGCCGTCGAATCACAAGCAATGCGATGCTCAGGAATCCAGTTGGCGATATTTGGAAGGAGAACACACAGACACACACTCACTCGACATATGCAATTATTAATATTATTAATCTCCAGCCTCAAACAGGCCCTAGGTGCCTGGGGGCAAAATAGCGACTGTTTGGCGGAGTCCTAAACTCTACCACTTCTGCAAACACCGTGTCTTGTTGAAGCTGCGCTCGCTCAAACCTCGTAAAGCAAGTCCTTTAGAAGCCTTGGGAAAATATACCCCGAATAGACGATGACATCGTCAATATATTCTCCAACCACTTCACGTTGTAGGCGGGGGCATTGGTGACACCGTCGGCCAATCACGGCGAGAGCACACCTCCGTGTGGAGATAAGCCCCGCCCACTTCTAATTCGCCCCAACTCTTTGGCGTGGGGGCGCGGGAGTAATCCGACCAGCGGCTGTCAATCAACCGCGACACCGATCGATGAGGACTTGCCACTGGTCACCTACACATCGACCATGGTGTCGTGTCGGGGCGGAAATGAGACATCGCTTTGAAGTCGCCGACCTGCCTGTCAACGCAAGGGGCCGGACGGAGCAGACGGCAAGGGAAGAGAGTCGGGCGACAGGGCTGCCCACCACCACACCTTGTGGCAGACTGGAGGGAGTTGGGAAAGGACGGGGGAGGGTAGAGGTGGGGGGTGGATGAGGGGAGGGGGGGTCACGCTCCTAGAAATTAACTCGG